ACCCTGATTGGATTTCTATAGATGTTGTATGTGATATTTAGTCTTATTGAACTACTGTATGTTCGTTTAAAAATTATAGACTGAAGGATGTATTATATAATCTGCAAGATTATAGTTTCACTTGCATGATTTGAAAATTTGAAAAGTTTTCTGTTTAATGTTTTTAGTGCTATAAAAATTCATATGATATTATAAGTATGTCTATTGTATATGAGAGAGAGAAAAAAAAAAATAGTGAAAATATTGGATATATATAATTGATGCTACATAGCTCAGTTTATGATCATCTTTATAATAAGGTTGGATGAGAAGATAGAATTGTGCAATTATGAAAATAATGGAATATTATATAAAGAATATCTATCACTCTAAATGTATAAGATTCAATTTAATACTAGTAGTCCCAGAAGGACACTAATATTAAACATTAATGGATAGAATGATTAAAACAATGCATCATGTCTAAGATTCAATCAATATTTTATTTATCGATAACTTGTAAGTTGACAATAAAGTTCTTATACGCTCCCTGAAGGATCTTTTATAAGTTAACAAAAATATTTCTTTTATACGCCCCGATGGATCAACATCGATGTAAGTATCTCCTATAAATTCACAATAAAGTTTTGGTATACTCCCTGCAGGATTAACACCAATACAAGTATCAAAATAAAATAATGACTACACTATGAGCAAGTCTTGATGAATAATTTTGAATTAAGTTGTTATCGAATATTTTATGATTTGTTATGAACAATTTGTATTCCTGAAGTAATACATGAGAATAATGAAATCCAACCAGATCAATACTCATGGACACAATATATTACGAATAGTGATATAAAAAGTAGTTTATTGAGATTGTATTAGTGCCAGAAGCACATATACAAAAGTATAATTTTTATTTGAGATATATGATATTGTTTGCATATATCATATCATTCTTCACATTACTTGTTAAAACGTGGTAACGCACGTAATATATATGTAGCAGACATTATCCTCTGGTAAGAATTATTTTCGATGATGAATGAAAAAAAAATATTATATATCTTATGTAATGAAATCTCTCATACTTCAATTGTCATACTCCTTAATAGTTATAAAATAAAAATGTCCACATATATTATTAATTTGTCCATGCATCTGATTACTCATGAAGCATATGTGGATTAATTTTAACATGTGAATAGTGTGTGTTGTTTGGAATATATATGGTGAAGCTATCAAAATATGCACTTACAACATGAATTTAGTTTGAAAATAATAGTTGCATATTTTGTTCCGTTGTTTTATGTATTGAGTATTGACGTGATCCAAAGTTATTGAGCCTAAATCAATTTGAATGTCTTCAACTTTAGTCTAATTGACTGATGAACCAAATGAATTGTATGCAACTTGTATAGTTATTTATTATTATTATTTTTTTTAATCCTATCATGATGAATTGCATAGCAAATATCCTGTTGAATTTTATGCTTATATATTTGAGTTCCCAGAAGGATTATATAATTAAAGTATGGCTAGTGAATTTGAATACCTTATTGACCTAGATTTGGATATCCCTGAATGATTGGTCCGGTTGACCAGTATAATAATCGCATAAAAATTATCTAGCCAGTATCCTTGAAAGATTAATCTAGTAGATAATCTTGTTGATTTTTGAATAAATTCATGATCTTTTAACTTTAGATCAGCTCTGCATATTTAATATACTCTGATTAAATTATGAAACAAGAATGTTCCCAAGATTGAATCAATATACAAGTTTTCTCAAATTATTTATGTTTGCTTGTATATTTTATAGAATGCATACCACTGACTTATATTGTTGATAGCTACAATAAAAGGCTCACAAGCAAAGTACAGTTGTAGTGCCTGAAGCATATAGTGTTCACTTAGAAATGATTATTATACTTTGATGCCCAACTTATAAATTTGATAATTAGCATGAGCAGTTGGATCATATTGGGCAATTATTTACGATTATTTCCCCCTAAAATGCGTGGAGAATCAAACATTTCCCATCTGCAATTTATTGTTACATTTTTTTTATCACCACCAATTCGTACCTTTATGGGCCTATATTACAAACTAGGTATGCTATGATTTTTATACTCCGTCGAATTTTTAATACCTAGAGGCCATTATAGGGGATCAATTTATTATTTGGTACGTGTTTTGCATAATATATGAAGACGATTTCACGACATTAGGGGGAGATATGAACATAAGTTTATTAATGCCGTGAAATATGTGAAATATAAATTATTTGAAACCACGCAATAAATATCGAACTTGAAGTTCATATTATATTTCTGTCAAGCGAAATCTATAATAATAATGGAGTGACCAATTGTGAATATATAGATGTACCACAAAGTAATCAAATTCCCTAGGGAATGATTGACTCCTTGATGCTAGAAGCATAAGGTGATATAATCAATATGATGTATGAAAGTCCGCGGAAAATGTATTTTCAAGAATTAACACTCCATTATAAGAAACTCCTGAAGAGTTGATCCAGTACATCTTGCACGTGCAACAAACCATTATAGTACTGGAAATGCGGAAATGCCAAAATTAGATATATGGGAAATGATTATAAATATGGCTAGTAAATATGAAGTAGAATATATGGTTGAGAGAAAAATATAAGTTGAATATCAGTTGTCGACAACATACTTGCCTATGTGATTTCTTTACTATCTCATATAATGATCCGGATCAGAATAATGAAAGTGCTAGAAGCACTTAGGTTGATTGAGATAGAAAGAAAAACTGAGGCAGAGCTTTCACTCGCTACACGATATATCCCAGGAGGATAGCATATCCCAGAAGGATAATGAATATTTATATGAAACATGTGATGTGGTGGTGTGATGTAAATATAGCGAGATTATGCTCATGGGTTTATGCAGAGACCCAAATGTTTATTTAGATAAGTTCTCTCATTATCAATGATTCCGCAAGTTAATATTTATGGCAGCATTATGACAATGACTATTGAGTCATATGTGAAAGTCCTGGATGGACTCGAGTACCCGAGATGAAAGATAATTAAATGATAAATATTTTCATTATTTAAAGTTGTTGGTGAGATGTGGTATAACCAACTAAATTCTTCCTGAAGATGTAAAATAAGAAATTCAAGGTAGAACCTTGTGTATAATGATATACAAAATGATCATCTCGGCCAAATAGATTATGTGGTGAACACTATGTAAAATATTAAATAAGTTAGCTCATGCTTATAGACGGAGTAAGGATGAAACTTTTGGTTAAATACCAAAGAGTATTATCTCGACTTGTAGATCGAGCATCTCCTAGAAGGAATATTTTTGACCCAACAAATTTACTTGAATCTCTTTTAGAGATGTAAAATTGTAACACCAATGAGTGTCAAATATTTGGCATTTGACAAATATCCAAAGAAACAAATGAGGATATTATAGGACCTGGAGTTCAAATGGACTTGAAGTCCACAAACAACATGAAGTTTATTTATCAAGCGCAATTGTGCTGAACTTTTATCTCGCAAACTGCATCAGGCCTGATACTGCATTTACGATGAATTTGTTAGCAAGATTTACTATTTCTCTTCTTAAAGAGATATTATGATAAATTTGAGATATCCCATTATGTTTTCATGTATGTTGAGTTATCTTTAGAGTTGATATATGATATTGGTGGATAGGAATATCAATTATATAATTGATCCCCGAAGTATGAGTCCTCAATTGGTTATATACCTCTCAAATGGTATTAAATCTTTACCATTGGTTATTGAAATTTTCCCCATATTTATCCTGAAGATAACTTGGTTTGTGTTACACAAATAAATTATAAAAATACATTTAATGATAATTTTGAATCTATATTAACTCCGGAAGAGCAACAAATGACGATTTTATGCTAGAAACTCTTGCCTTGAGGGGGAACAACATACAATTATGAATGTAACTAAAAAAGTTTTCCCTTCAGGAGGAGCGATAAATAAATCTCGAAGATCGAGCCCGAAAGGTTAATTATAATCTTGAAAATTAGGCCCTGTTGGCCGGTGTTGTACTCTTTTTCCCTTGACTAAGTTTTTTCCCATTGGGTTTTACTTAGTGAGGTTTTTAACGAGGCAGCATGTGTAACACATAAATTTGCATATGTTATGTACTCTTTTCCTTGACTGTTTTTTCCTACAGGGTTTTGCATCGAGGTTTTTAACGAGACATAGACATGATGCGGTAATGTCCAAGGGGGAGTGTTGTAAATATTAATTTGTGGACATTACCTAGATATAGGATTTGTAGGTATGGGCCAGAAGCCCATTAGGTATTTACTCATGTACATTGTATTCCCTTATATATAGGACTCAAGTGAATGAATAAGATGATAGTTTTTACGACGTATCTCTTCTCTCTTATTCTTCTACTGCTTTCTCTCTTTTTGTATATCTAATCTTACATATTGATAATTTATATTACAACAGAATTTACTCGTGCAACACTTGCTTTCACTAGTCAAATTAACGGGGCTGACCGTATTTTTATTTTTGACAACGGAGAGGACCAAAAAATGCAATTTCAGCAAATTTAGCCGATGCTTTTTGTAATTTTCCGTTCTCGAGAGGGGTTTTTTCGAATATACATTAACTTCCGTCTACTGAAGGTCAATCGAACTTTTTTTTTTTTTTTTTTTTTTTNNTTTTTTTTTTTTTCGAAACGACAGATTTTATAGATAAAAATCACAAATACAACTAGACAACAACTAGAATAGGCAACAGCCACCTAGCTGAATCTAGGGAGATAACCCGACGACGACGGGCATCTAAATACTACACTAACTCACCCACAAACTCACTCACAAACATAAAAACAAACTATACAAGATAGGTCAATCGAACTTCACCAGTCAAAATAAACCATCCCCCAATAAGTTAAAACCTCAACACCCCCGCCGCCGCCGCCGACAGCTCTGTCTCCGCCGTGAGACCACTAGCTGCCTAGATGGAGAACGACTGTAAGAATAAGGACGTGTACGAGAGCTACGTGGTCGTGCATAACATCGCGAAGAGGCATAACGTCGGGACGCTCGCCCGCAGCGCCACCGCGTTCGGCGTGGCGGAGCTGATACTGGTCGGGAGGCGTGATTTCAACGCCTTTGGGAGCCATGGATCGACCTCTCATCTCCGGTTCCGCCATTTCCACTCACTGTCCCTCGCCCGCTCCTACCTCAAGGTTCCAATCTAGCCCTTTAGGATGAAAAAATTGCATCTTTTTTTGCCATTGAATGTCGTTTACCTTTTCACTGTGATGTGTGTGTGTGTATGTGTGGGTATGGTGTATTTGCAGGTTTTGTATGAATATCGAGCAACTCAGAATTTGTAAGATCATTGTGTTTGGATGTACTTTTTTCTGTTTTCAAGATGATCTTGTGCTGATTGACTATCAAGATTTGTCTTTCTTTAGTAATTTGAAGTCCCATTTGATTCTTATGAATTGCTACTACTTCTTTACTTTCCTTTCAGATAGCTGCTGAATTGCGTAGCTTGTGCCAAAATTAGCTGAATCTAAATTTAAAATGCTGTGTTCTGGCAGATGTCGTCATTTTTTTACGAATTGATAGTTCGAAGCTATCGAAAGTGCAAAGAGAATGGGGATATGAATAATTTGGTTATAGGTCTAATTTGGGTTCTTTGTGTGTTGATAAGGAGAGGGACTGTGATATATGTGGAGTAGAGATTACGGAAAATGGCATGCCAGTGAACGAGCACCCTTTCAGGAAGAGCACCGCCTTTCTTCTTGGCAATGAGGTCCACTACTGAACTCAATTCGTTCTGTCTAAAAAATCCAACTCAATATCTATGTCTTTGGTACTGAACATGAAAAATCTCTTACAAATGTTGAGGCGTAACAGTTCTTTGATGTGCCAAACAACTTGCAATTTTGTCCTTCGTAATTTTTACTTGCTTGGTAGGCATGTAATGCACGTGCCTGTATTAATTGTGATATGTTGAATTTTAGGGAACAGGGCTTTCGGAAAAAGAGTGTGAGATATGCGACTTTTTCATATACATCCCGCAATATGGGGGTGGAACTGCTTCTTTGAATGTCACTGTGGCTGCTTCCATTGTTCTACATCATTATGCAGGTTCAATTATCAACTCTCTCTAGTTGTTATTTTCTTCTTCATTTTGAAATAGCGATTTTGTTTTTGTAGTTAAAGCTAAGAGTAGTCGAGAATAGAAACTTGTAGTTTTTGCTAATGAAACTATATAACTTGAAGAAGATTGTGATGATGAATAAATTTTTGAAGTGATGATTTTGTTTGTAAATTCATCAAAACAACCCGTCTTGTCTTGCATTTGGCCTATCATGGGCTTCTTGGAGGATCTAAAAAGTACTGCTTTTTTCAGTCAAAAGTCGACAAGCATTTTAAAGCTTTTGCGAACAACCCATACTAACATTAGCATTACTCAAATCAAACCACCCGGCGTGTTATATTACTCCTTTACAAGAACGCCTTTGCCCAAAGATGTTTCTTGTTCACTGTTGCTTTATTTTGTGGTTGCGCAAGTTATTATTTTAGAATGTGAATGCACTTTTTGTCCAAAACTAGGGCAAAAATAGAAAAACGATCATGAAATGAAAATCCAGTATAGGGATATCTTAAAGCTTCAGCAGCATCAATTGAACTCTTCCATATGTGGTGCACTTTATAGACGAGAAGTTGAATGATCCATTTTTTGTGATATAATGCTTGGCTTGTTCACAATTTTTTTTTTTTTTTTTTTTTTTTTTTTTTTTTTTTTTTTAATTCTTGTTTTCTCTGTCGTATCAAATATTGGTTCAGTTTGGGCTGGATTCTCTGAGAGAACCCGCGAGGGAAACAAGTTTATAGTTTCTGAAAAACCCACGAATCAGATGCGGCAAAGGTTCTGCACAGAAACAGCAGAAGCCATTGCTGAAGAAAGAAAGCTGAAAAAGGAAAATGCAGCCAATGGCTTTTTTAATGAGGGTGGCAAAGATGAAGCTTCTGGAAACCTTTTGGACACATTGTTTGATCATATTGAAGGCAGATTAGAATAGAAGCTCCGGATGCCGAAATTCCAACAAGGTAGGAAGCATCAATCACACATGTGTTCTTAGTAAAAAGGTTTGTGCCGGGAAGAGCTTACATACGGGTATTGAATCTTGAAAGGACACGAATTTAAAGTATCTCTCAAATGAACGCATCGTATCTTTTTCAGTGGAATTCGAAAAAGATGATGGTTAGAGTTTCCAATTTGTAAGAGGCAAGCAGATAAGTTAACTGTGGGGTTTGGTTTATGTGAATCCTTTGCCATCTTATGAAACTAAAATGGCCCCTTGAATTTTCCAAGCTGTAAAAGGCAAGCAAAAGGCAAGAAGAAAGTTTGATTGCTAGTCTTATATTCCCCACTATTTATCAACTTGCCTGGTCTTAAAAATTTTGTTACATGTGAGTGATATTTTACTATTTTTTAGATGTCATCTACAATTTCATTATAACATTATCATTGGTATTGAAACGATCTCAATCGGGTTGAACGTCCTTCGATCCGCTCTTGACCGGTTCGAAGACCGGAGCACAACAGTGCCGGGAGTTGTCCCGGAGTAGAAACTCTGACGTTCATGTCAGTGGAAGAAGGTGATGCATACGAGGTACGTAAGTATAGAATGCTTAAAGTATGTAGAGTGTAAACGATCATACCTCACAATTTTATATAGAAGTGTTACTTTGTTGTCCAAGACTGCTCGAGCTACTCGTTTGTACTATCCGAGTGCCCGAAATGCCAAATTTTGTTACTCTAAACGATCCTATTCACGTGTCCTTATCTTAACTATATTCCTTCATATTCATTATGTGGTGTGTTCACATTGTCTACCTAGCTTAGTGCTATTAGTTCGATTTCCCTCGAACTAGGTCGTTCTAATCTTCAGCGAGTAAGGTTATCTATTCCGTCGTATATCGACCTATAGGTCTCGAGGTCGAGTTTCAATGAGGCTAGCTGAGAGTCCTAGCTCGGCCTGTTGGTGAATTATCTAATTTGCAAGGTTATTATCGACTTGGTGATTCCCTGACCTCTGATGTCCTATCAGTTTACTCAAATCGGTTGGACCGCTCCTAGGTCGTACTGTATATTTATCCCATATCAATCATCTTATTCGAGTACTCTTTAATTTGTTCATTCTTTTTTTTTTTTTAATATACCAGTATTCATGCGTACGCCTCTTGTAACTGTCCTATCGTCTACTTCAAGAGTTAAACTGCGGGATGTGCCCTAGTGCAACCGTACCGTCCCCTCTGCAACCTAGCGTCCCAAAAGGTCTAACGCGACAGATGAGGTTACTAGCATGTCCTCTTCCCTCCGAATGAAGAAAAAACTGTTGAGGGTTTCCTCCCTCTTGGATTCGATCATCCGCAGAGCATTCGTGCCCAATATGGGCGGTTGTGCTACCAACATGCTATGCCCGGAGCTTCAAATACAATGTTGAAAACTGCAAAGTACAATACAATGTTGAAAACTGCAACACCGTCAGGGATGCATGACGATGGTGCTTGATTGGCGCTAGAGAGGGGTCACGTAAATTGATACAAATTGACCTTTTTTTATCATGAATTTCACAAGCATCGTTTTCATGGTCTTTGTCTCGTTATTATCGAGTCCAAGTCAAAGTTCTTCACAATGGTTTATTTATTACAAAAAGTCATGAAGGGTTTTCAGTTCACCCGCTTGTGTATTTTTTTTTTTTTTTTTTTTT